GTAAAATTTTTTATTTACAAAATACAAAATCTTATTACTTATTATCTATAAAATAGGAGCGAAACATCTCATCCACTAAAATATCGTTGTACAATGTGTTCCCTGTAAATATACTCGTAAAACTATGCATTGAACATCCCTGAAACTTATATAGCAAATACATTAAGCAATATTCGCCACAAACTGAAGTCCACTCATTCTGAATCCTATCAACATTCCAGTTCCATCTTTTACAATTTCTTTTAAAAAACTCTAGATGATATCGTACAGGTGCCCGTCCGAATGAATCAAAATATTGACCGACGTCATTCGTATCGATATATAAAGCTACCCAATGTGACCCTGGTTTATCATCTGTATCCAAATTTGCATATTATATACGTTGGTACGTGGGTGTACATGGGTAGTTTATTGGCAGCATAAACATTATTTTCTAGAGTGGGGTGAATCTTTTTCAGATGTTGTACATCTAGTGCATCCATAATATTACTGCTATTAGTAGATTATTACAGTACCAATCTACTCAATGACTAATATAGGAATGATCAATTATAGTGATTTCTAAGTATTAAATTGCATTCTTTGTGTTATACAAAACGTATTTGAGTCATCAATACGCAGAACAAGACATGACAGGAAGGACGAAGGAATGTTGAGATAAACAACAGAATGCGATATAAGCTTGTTGAAGCATAAAGTTACTATCAATTCTACTGCAGAAATTCTTTAGATTAGAATTATTACTCACTGGTACTATATAAGACCAAGCAACTGCAGTCATGGAGTTAGTGTATGGTCGTTTGACCGCAGTGGATCTATCAATACTACATTTGTGTTACTTCAACGCATCAAAGGCCATATATGTAAGTGTTTATTCTATTGACAAACTTACTTTTCTTTCTGTTATTTTCTTACGTGTGTATGATTTAGTGTTAACAAATTATATTTAAATATTGTGTGTGTACCGCATCTACGAATACTAGAGTAGTTAAAAAATACTTTTTTTAACAATGACAGTCATTAGTTGATCATTAGTGAATGTGATTCTGTTTACTTAAATTACAGGAAGACAAGAGCAGAAGGAAGAAATGGGATGATGGGAAGTAATGAAGCATTGTTATGTGAAGTTTGTTGGAACAAACATATTTTAGTCACGTGTAAATACTTTTAACATTTTGGTTCAAAATGACACAAAATCTAAAAAATATTAGATACATCATCGACATGGACGGATTTTACGTAGAGATTTTTACGATTGTAGAGAAATGGCTATTCTAGACGTAAAACTATCTAATAAAAATGATGCGTTTATCGATCATTATTTGTTTCGGCCAAGTTATCCTTTCAATTATTTGTCACCAAAAGACAAAAAAACTGTTCGTTATTGTGAAACACACGTGCACGGCATTCCATATTTTGATGTGATCGAAGAATTAAAATGTGCCTACAAACAAGAGAACATCATCCCCATATTAAATTGGTATATTAGAAATTTGTGCAAAGACGAAGTGATCGCATACAAAGGTGGTTCAACAGAAAAACAATTTTTAAAAATGTTGACGACGAATGATAGAATTTTTAATATTGAAGAATACAAATGTCCAAAATACAATGATTTTGCAAATGTCATAAATTTAAACAAACGTTATGTGTGTAATAATCATATATTTGCAAAAAATAATCACAAAATTTTACATTGTTCTTGTGACGAAGTGTGGGTTTTTTTACAAGTGGTTATTGCTTGAAAATAAAATTTTTAATCATAAATTTTGTTTAATTTCCCAAAAACATTAGTTATAGTACACAATATATATTAATTTTTTACACCAACACTTTCATTTTTTATTTCACCCCTTAGAACTTTAGACGTGTGTAATGTTTCACTTTATACATCCGTTTACTGCTATTGTGGCAGGACCAAGTGGATGTGGGAAGTCAAATTTTGTAACAAATTTCATAAAATCAGTTACAGAAATATGTAATTGTGATTTTAATCAGATCACATGGTGCTTTGATGAAATGCAACCTTTATATAATTTACCAAATGTTAACTATCATTAAGGAATTCCAAATCTTAATATGTTTGATGGTGAAAACCCACATCTCGTTATTATTGATGCTCTAATGAGAGAGTCCGATGTAACTTTAAACTCGAACAGTGTTTTGTATTAGATTAAATAGAAGATTTATAAAGAAATAAAAAATAATATATGGCATATAATTTGTTTCATTTAATTTTATAACGATTTACATAGTTACATACACACAAAATGCATTACACATAACTCATAAAATCTAACACACAACACATAATATTACAACCTTAACTACTATAGTCTACAGTAACATTTCTGCTTTTATCTATCTCAATAATATTATCAAACTCAGCATAAACTATACAGTTAATTGTTTGTATTAGTGAGGATTCAAATCGTACTTCTAATCTTACACTACCATGCTTTATGAGATTCCAATGAGCTGATGAGTTGGCTGATAAATCAGGAGTTAAGTCAAATGCTAATAGACAGTAACCTTTGGCATACTGTTCACAAGAAATTCCATTTCCTTCATTAAGAAAGTGAATACCAGTTCCGAGAATAGAGTATGATATGCTGATGTAAATATACTATTATTAAAAGATGGTTGCAAAGCTTTTGGAGGTATTTGTTGACCATCAATATATAAGCTGAAAGAATTAATACCATAGTTTTCAAAGTTAAATGGATTTTTAGTAAGGGAACCATTAAATGCAGAATTGTTTACAAATCCAATTATACATCTTTTGGGTACCTGTCCTAAAAATATATTATCAAGAGTTTTTCCTTGAACACCCGATGGAATTGTTAAAACTTTTACTTCAGCTCGAGTAATAGGATATTTAGCAGTAGTAGAAGCTAAAACTTTTTGATGTGCGAGTAATACATTTGGATTAACTCGTGCTCGTCGAACAATAAGAGTTGCGTCCGTAATGCAAACTTTAAACTTTACATCGTTTGACCCAGCAATTAAATTAAAACTCTCTCTTGATCGAACCAATTTAACACTCATTTCAACACCATTAATTAAAAATTTATCTTGGTTGAAAATGTCACCGTGAAGATGACCAATCATTTCTATTTCCTTACTTTCACTAATCAATTCCTGTCTTTTAACAAATTCTATGTTTTTACCAACCGTAGAATCCATTTTTCCTGCCGTATCATCATACTCTACTTAAGTCTAGTAGAGCTTTCAGTTTTCGGCCACCAAGTACTGCAATTTGAACAGTTAGTGATGAAACAAAATACCCATTTCAGTCGTGGCCGAAAACTGACTCTAAAATATATACAATTTAGTTTTCGGCCAACTTAAAATTGTATGAAAGAATACGGCGGCGGAAAATGGAATGCTGTCTTAGTTTGCGTTTACGGCCATTTCATCTTATCATATCAAATATTTTATTCACATTGCGTTTTAGGAAGAAGATTCAAAAAAGAAATTTTTTTTCTTCAGATGGCTCCTCTTGGTTAGAGATGAGAATGGTTAGATATGGTAACAGATTTTGTTAAACTATAATACTTATAGGAAGTACAAAATACTCGTGAATGAGAATATTTGATTGCTATATTTAAAAGATTTTATTATTAGATTATGATTCAAAGAGAAATAATTAATCATGGTTATTATTTTATATCAAAAACACACACAAAAAGAAAAAAATAACGTCACGGTTAAAAAATCGCAATCACCGATTGAGAAAACTAAATACACCGATTTCCCAAACCGTTTTGCCATTTTCTGATTTTACAAAAACACTTTTAAGTTTATAGTACCTCTTCTAATACAGCGGCCAAAAACTAAAATTCTTGTAGGCCGAAATCTAAAATTTGGGGCCGAAAACTAGCGTTTTGCATTTTTTCACATCAAAATTTATTATAAAAAATAGATTTCTTTTGTAGCATTAATGAGTTATCAAAATGAAAACTACATTATATAAGCTATAAATTAACATTAACAACACTAGGTCAACATAATCGCTATTATTTTTTATAGTACCTTAAAGTTGACAACTCCACTAAAAGGCCGAAAACCAGCGCAACGACCCTATACGGTATGTACGCGTCACACCGCATTTACTTACCAACAAGTGGATTGCTCCCTTGTTTATCACCGACTTAAAAATACAGTTTCACATTGGCAGTAAGAACTTAAACAATGAACGTTTTATTTTATTTTATTTAACACCTTGTATTCCCGTCTCCCGGGAAGTCTGCAGTCTGCGAACATGTTCAAGATCGTCCCCACCATTACATTAGATTTGATAAACCACAAATTCTCGCAAAAGAACACCGATTCCTACCAAGGATGATACGCGAGGCTATTGAAATTAAAAAACATCCAAATTTCAATAGAGAAGATGGTTGGGTGCTACCATCTGCTTGGGATCCTATAATCAACAAAATTAAACCCAAACCCAAGCATACCACTGCAAGACTTCATGATACTATAAGCTCGTTTTGCGTAAATCGGACCAAAAATTAATATTAAAAAACTGAAGGTAGCCGGACTAACTATGACATTGGGACGTCAAACATCTCAGTCCCCCCCGTGACCATGGGCGCTGTAAAGCACCCGAAACGTCGGGATAATAATAAAAATAAATTAAAGTAATTAAACGCGATAAAATCCGTAAATAATAGTTTTATTCAATGTGTAGTGTTCGCGTAAATTTAAGAAATCATTAACACCTTGTATATAAATTTTAGCTTTCTACACTCCATAAAAACGTTTACATTTCCAAATCTCGCATAACTCCAGCGCCGCAATATGCCTAAAAACGGGCACGACGTTTTAATTTTACGTATTATTGAATATTAAGATATACATTATTTATTATTATTGCCTTCAACGCAACCAAAACAAGCTCAACAGTGCACCTCCGCTCGGCATCTTGACTGGACCTGTTCGCTCTTTTGATAATCCGTGTTTGTTAAAAAATAAATAAAAAGATAAGATATACAATGACGATACAAAAGCGTTTTAAAGTTACTTTGATAGTTGTGATTATATCAATCGGTTCATCATATGCCCGTGAGTATTGAAAAAGTTTTTGAAGTGTAAACTTCTTAAGGCACGTTGGACACTTTTAGGGTGGAGAAAAAGCACAGAAATCGCGTAATCGTCACGTTGGGACACAGAAAATTGATGAAAGTAACGTTGAAAACCCAATTGATAAAATTTTATGAATTTATTTTATTATATAGATAATTTTGTATTATATAGATAATAGTCATTCTTTTTGTCGCAATAAATGAAAATTTTATTGCTATATTAATATGTTGATAAAAATAATTTCTAATAAAAATACTTCCTAAAAAAATATTTATGTAAATAAATATACATGTGCAGTCCTATGGCTAACATTTTCTTTTTATATTTTTTACGTGGTAGAGCTATGCTACAGCTATATTATGGTTGTGTGGTGTATATATGGCTCTCAGTCAATATCAGTGTGAATCAGCGGCTTAAAAATGCTGCCGTATTTCATACGGTCAGTGTAGAAACCGCGGAGATCCTTTTTAATAAGAACGAGGCATTCCATCTCTTAGTCCTCATGAGTGACAACGCATCTGCATTTTGATTTTGAATCAAACACAGATGCCACAGCATCTATCTACTCGTACTTACCAACAGGTGGACTGTGTGTTCGTGAGTCAAAATTATTTTATAAAAATAAAAATAAGAAAGTGCCGAGCGCGGCATCTGATGGTGAATACTGTAACAAGATCCATACAAATAAATTCACGGTTCTGTAGCGTAGTGTAGGGGCTTAGCTGGGTTCAAATCCCGTACGCGACAAGTATTTATGAGTACAAACATTATTCCGAGTCTGCATGTTTATCTATGTATATCGCCTTCACGACACAGGATGTAAATGTGAAAATAACTTCGAAAACAGGTCAAAGACTATACGTTGTCAACAAGGGTAATCCTCAGACATGCTCTTTGGCAGAATAAAATGTCCCACAACCAAATTTAGACAGAGCTTAGATCAATAAAATATTACCGTATCTTATTGCAGACCAAAAATGTAGGATGCCGAATGGTTATACTGGAGAGTGTAGATTTTTAGACGATTGCAAGCCTCTACTAGACGTGAATAATAAGAAAATTAAAACAGAAGAGGAGCTCCTGTATCTTCGGGAATCTTCTTGTGGAACCACCAGCAACTTTAGGTATAAGGTCAGCAATCGAAAAAAAATTTTCATTATAATAATAGTGAGTGCGTGCAGACTGCACGTGAGGATGCCCCGTTTAGAGGCAAAACACGTGTCGTATTATGTACAGTATTTTATATCTTTCTCATTGTGGGTGTTGCGAGTAGTTTTGTTGGAGATTAGTGGCGACGGGATTAGTGCACGCAATTGAGGGAGCGGGAGATGCTTACCAAACTAGGTAAGACACATCATTTTATTAACGTTACGCGGATCTTTTGCCCAAATACTCAAACATCCAAATTTAACCTCAAATTGATCAAAATGCAAATGCGTAGTCACCCCTGACGACTAAGATGCTCTACGGATCTCTACACTCACCATACGAAACAGCAGTATCAAGCTGCTATTTTACGCTGGTATTCTGTGAGAGCGTGGTCCTTCCCCAGTCGAGCCGACCAATTCGTGCTACAACCATAATATAGCTGCCGCGTGGCTCTACCACATATATGACATTCACCTGACGATATCTTTTTTATTTCAGATCTGCTGCCCACTGGAGTCGGAATGGTCGAAAGCGCTAGACCTCAAGCCAGTTCTATTCCCAGAAATAATTAAGTATATGTCCGAACCAGGAGATAATCGATCTGATAACAACTTGCATCTCGCCTCTAGTCTAAATTTCGAGTCGGAGAAATGCGGTATTCAATCGTCAACTCCTGACATGATACTCGGTAAGTTAAATATCCCTTAAACTGGAATATTTGCACAGTTTGGTCATTATCATCACCATGATTAGTTGTTCGACAAACGGTTCGCAACGTATACCATTCATTCCCATTACCGCTGTGAATATTTTAGATCTCCGAGATCCCATCGTGTAATCAGTAATCACTACCGCTAATGATTTCTTTACTAACAATTCTTAATATAATAATACGTTTTCGTCGTTCTAAGATACAGCCGTAAGTATTTTATGAAAGTATAATGAGTAAGTTTTATACCCAATTTCGTTCATTTGTTTTTTTAAATATTTAAAATATCAAAGAAAATTATACGAAGAATTTAAAAGAAGTTGGGTACTTTAAATTTAACCGCACCCTCTGGACAATATAATATAATTCTTTACCCAATCCAATTTCAATGATTCCGACTTTTTTATTATAAAAGGGGTACCGTAGACGTGGTTTTATACAAATTTGGTCAAGATCCAATGATGAGATCCATGAGAAAATCAACAAGCTCTTCAATTAGCAAAGGCATCTGCGTGTAGGGTGTCCAGGTCTTAAAACCGAAAAGCCGGTGAGACTACCGAGTTTAGCCGGACATTTTGTTAAAAAGGTCGGACACCCTTAATTTTTTTTAGTCTGAGTATAACATGACAATTTTTTTAAATCAAAACAATGCTTTTTTATTTATCATACATCTTAAATTCTAACTAAATAAAAATAAAATTGAATAATTCAGTTTAATTTATTATTAAACATTCAATATGCATTGCAACATTAATTTCAATAATTGCAATATTATGTATGTAAGTACATGAACAATTTAAAAAATGGTCTAAATTTAAAAAGCCTAACAAAAGCCGGACAGGCTGGGCAAGGTCTAATTTGGCCGGACACGCAAACAAAAAACCTGATTGCGTCCGGCTTTATCCGGACGCCTGGCAACGCTATCTGCGCGACATGTAGGCAAATAATACTTTACCACGTCAACCGATTTTGATGATTATATTATTCTTTGTAGTTTTTTTTTAAAGTCAGTTTTTATTATTTTTTAAAGTTTAATTTAAAACATTGCTCCTTTAGATGAATTAAGAAAGTCCGGGACACGTTCTGTTGTAATCCCAGTCTTGTTTTAATAAATTTCATATAAAAGGAGAGTACACAGTCCCCAACACAACGGAGCGATTGCGAGTGATTCACATGCATGTAGTTCTTTTCCGATTGAGTTGGAGGACCGTGCCTTTCGCGGAATAAAAATGATGTATGCGCCGAAATTAATTTAATTAAATCTATAGCATTAAAGCAAATTAAAAAAAAAACAAAGCTCACAATCAGTTAATGATTTTAAAATAAATCTACCTTTTCTTCCGAAGCCCCGGAATCTATACGTGGTAGAGCCATGTTGCAGCTACACGAATGGATGGGCTCTACCGGGGAAGGACCACACTCACACTCTGACAGAATACCAGCGTAAAGAATGCAGTTGCAGAATACAGCAACTCAATGCTGCTGTGTTTCGTATGGTTAGTGTAGAGAACCAAAAACCTTTTTTACTAGAAACGTGGCATTTTATCTTAGTCCTCAGTGGTAACAACGCATCTGCATTTCGATTCTTAATCGAGGATAGATGTAGATGTCCATGGCCCACAGTATCCAGTAACTATTAAGGTGGACTTTGTGCTCGTTTGTCACACTTATTCCATAAAAAATCCCTTTCTTTATGTTTTTATGAAAATATTATTCCATAATGTATTTACCGTGTAGTGACGGTGTAGGAATATCCAGTAACCCATATCATCCCGTGGTCGTAAGAGGTGACAGAGGATGTTTCCTCAAGAAGGAGAAGATTGTCAGCAGTGTCTTCCTAAAAACAACTAAAAATAAAAACCACCAACCCGCTTGCCAAGCGTGACAACTATGGCTAATACCTCCCCCCCCTCTATTAGGCAATCTATGGGGGAGGCTTATGTTCATCAGTAGTCTTTAATAGGCTGTATCGGTTAATGTATTAAAAAGTTCCAGGGGGGAAAGGAAAAAAAGGAGGGGAAGAAAAAGGGAGGGGAGTGGGGGGGGGGAGAGGGGGGGGGAAGGAGAAAAAGGGGGGGGGGAAAAGGGGGGGGGGGGGATAGTTTTTTTTGTTTTTGTTGGGGGGGTGGAAAAAAGGAGAAAAAAAGTGAAAAAGTTTTTAAGGAAGGGGAAAGGAAGGGAAAAAAGGAATTGGTGGTTTGTAAGAAGAAGAAAGGAGGAAGGAAGAAAAAAAGAAAATTTAAAAGGAAGGTGGGGAAGGGGGGAGGGGGAAAAAAAAAATAAGGGGGGAATTTTTAAAAAAAAAAAAAAGAAAGATGATAATAAAAGGGGCACTTGTGATAATGAATTATCCTTAGATATCCGAATCTTTGCTTTCAGTTTTGAACTTGATTTACTAAACTAAAATTCAATTCTACTTTGCAGTTCTCCATTAAAAGAGCGTCTATTGTAAATTGGCAGCTATATCTATTATATTTAATTAGTTTAGATATCAATTCATAGTTCAAGCTTTCATATGACTTTCTAAAATGTGTAACCAAACACGCTATCCTTCCCGTTAGCGTTGCCAGGCGTCCGGATAAAGCCGGACACAGTCAGGCTTTTTTGTTGCGTGTCCGGCCAAACTAGACGGTGTCCGGCTTTTGTTAGGCTTTTTATATTTGACCATTTCTTTATATTTTTCATTTACCTACATAATATTGCAATTATTTAAATTAATATTATGATGAATATTTAATGATTAATAATAAAGAAGAACGATTTATTCAATTGTTGTTATTGCATTAAAATTTAAGAAAATTTTATGGTAAAAGATAAAAAGCATTGTTTTACTTTAAAAAAAATGTCGTTTTACTAAGACAATTAAGGGTGCCCGGCCTTGTTACGAAAATGTCCGGCTCAACTCGCTGGTCTATCCGGCTTTTAGGTTTTAATACCTAGCAAGCCTACTTCCCGTAAACTACGAAATTCCGTCACTGTATTTAATGTTGGTGTCGTACTCCTGTATCTCTTTGTTTGTCGCTACCCCACACGATGTTCCTTTAACACATGGACCCTACGATTCCTTAATTAAAATATAATTAGATATTACTTTTAAATAAAATATTTCTAGGTAACCGGACAACGGCTAAACAGTACCCCTGGTTGGTGCTCCTTGAGTATGCAAACGGTTCCATCCTCTGCGGCGGCAGCCTTATCTCGCGCAGACACGTTTTGACGGCCGGACACTGTGTAGAAACTTTGAACGGGCCACCGTAAGTTCTTTCAAACATCCGAGATGATACATCTCACAAGTGTTATTCAATTACGCATTCCTTAATTTAAACGTCTGAGTCTTGTGGATATACCAATGACTTCGGTTCCCAAGTTTACGGGCAAGCACAACTGCCTTCTCTATTCCCTCACTCTTATAATCCGATGGGACGATAAACCGACACGACCAGAAAGTCATCAGGTGCAGGACCAACGGCTTTACGTGCTTTCCGAGGCACGGGGGTGAGACACCGCCACTTCCTGACTCCGGGCAGTTACTGAGAATTTCTTGACGGAAAAACTCAATAATAGATTTTTTTTGGATCGACCCAGGTTTCGAACCCAGGACCTCATGATAAGCAGTCGCACTACTACAACCACTAGACCAACCAGGCAGTTCAGTTTTTGGTATTACCATTGACGCGAAGCTTCAATGGGGTCCCTAAATATCTAAATTATCAAGCAGGCTTAGTTCTGAAGTTTAAGCTGTAAGAAAGATTAGAAGTCTCACTAGTGTTGAGTTAGTTCATTTTAGTTACTTACATAGCGTAAGGTCTCATGGAATTTTGCTTTGGGGTAATGCGACTGACATTGAAACCATATTTGTTTTGCAAAAAAGAGCCGTACGGGCGTTTTATTACTTAAATTGTAGTGTCCTTTAGAGAAAAATTTAAACATGTAAACTTTGGCATTGCAATATATTTGTGAAAATGCAATGTATATACATAAAAATATAAATACCTTTAATAAGAACAAAGATGTTCATACTTTAAACACTAGAAACAAACATAAGCTTGTAATAGAACCAGTTACTAGACTCCACAGAATTAGTAATTTATTTATGGGGCATTCCATGTCACAAAATAGACCCCATGTCCTAAATTTACTTTTACCATACATTTTAAAGATTTTTCTGTTTGACAGGAGCATGTATAGTATGAAGTCACAAATTTTGTATCAAATATCTGTTGGAAGTTCTTCCAAATTTGCAATGACTGACAGGCGAACTAACTAGTAAACACATTTTCTTGCAATTTAAAATTCACAACAGAAAATAAAGTTTGAAATTATTTACTTTTAAGACTTTCTCAGTAGTTTAAACAAACACGAAACATTATAGATCCTGATACAAATTACAGGACCTTCACCCGTCTCTCGGAATACAACACCACCACGTACCCGATGGACATTGCACTGACGGAAAGTGGATTCAACTACATCAAAAACATCAAAATACCCATCAAATGGAGTAAGAGGCACCCGGAATTCAATTGGAACACCTACCAGAACGATATAGGATTAGTGAAGATGGCACATAATGCGCACTACTCAGGTACGCATTGCAATTACCTAAATTACAACTGAAATTCTAAATCGGACGGTAAAATACAAATTTAAATTGTTATTATTTTTAAACATTTATTTTTACGTTAATTTTGATGATAAATCGCACTATCATAAGCAGCGTAACAAGAGTCTATTCACTCTCGCCTTGAAAACACAAGTTTTTTATGTACCACGTACAGCCACGCTACAGCTACAACCGGGGTAGGGCCACGCTCTCACAGAATACTATCGTAAAATAGCAGCTTAATGCTACTGTGTTTCGTATGGTGAGTGACACACGGGCAGAGGAAGGCCGAATAAAAGATGGATCGATTGTGTGAAGAGTGATATGAAAATGAAAGGAGTAAGTATGGAAATGACGGCTGATAGAGAGGAATGGAACAAGAAGATTTACTGCGCCGACCCCAGATAATGGGAAATGGTTTAGAGAATGATGATGTTTCGTATGGTGAGTGTAGAGAACCGGAGATCCGTTTTACTGGAAACGAGGCATTTCGTTGTCACCCGTGAGGACTAAGGTCCTTGGGGTAGCGACCCTATACGCTCTTGAAAGGGCTTAGGCTGGTACGCGAGTATAGCGCGTGTGTATTTTTTTAAAAATAAAAGTGAAGTGATAAGCGAACTTACAGTCCAAAAGAAAGCTACAAACGTTGTCTTCTCTGTGGATTGAGATGGAATGCCTGACAGCCTGCAATTATACTTGCCCCCTATATCTTTCCACCACCAGCACACAGCAGTGCACTGTTGTTTTTCGGCAAGAAAAGTAAGATGGTGGTACTTACCGTCTGGGTAAGTACCACCATCTTACTTTTCTTGGCTCTTACTTGGTTTCTATTCTGAAAAGGCTTTCTACCACCTAGTTAAATAAGCATCGTCCTGTTAACGACTCAAAATAATTAAATAAAATGCTTTTGATACCTCGCCTACCAAAGTGGCTGATTAGCAATTACTATGGTGAATGACCTACCCTATATAAAAACATTTTATAGGGGAGGCCTGTGTTCAACAGTGGACTTTTGAAAGGCTGCTATGAATGAATGAATGTATAGTTTTAATCTCCTTTACATAGTGAAACAAAGTCGCTTTCCGCGTGTGACCAAAAAACAATTTTTATGTCTTACGTTCGCTTAAGGGGATATAGTAACTCAGCTCAAATTCTAATTTCGTCCCCACTTGCCCGCGCGTCGTATGCTATGTACCGACATGTTTGTAATCACTAATACTGTAAGTTGATAGGTCTTTAGATACTTATTTCGTTAGGTTTATCATATTTATGCCTGTTTCTTAACGCCAAGCCAGTCGCTTCTTATTTTTATTACGGTTATTTCCCATTTTAATTTTACGACGTCCTGTTGCGTAATGTATATTCTGATCGTAAGCGACACACCCTCCCCCTTCAAAGGCCGAAGCGAAGTAGTCGTGCGGCAGGAATCATGCTTCAAGAGGCCGATAGTTTAGGTAATTTCTTTTTATAGTGAAAATAATGGAATTTTTAAAAAAAGTAAATAACATAAGCACTGCTTTATAGTTAGTTCAGTTAGTATGAAAAGTTTCATGATCTTATTTAAAGTACCTATTTTATGAATAACAGCGGTTTATTGTTTATTTTGGAGGTAACTTTGGATTTTTTTTTCTATCGAGAAAATTTTACGAAATTGTGTTTTCGTCTAACATAATCCCTAACATTAATCCTCAACTTTACCATATATTTATTTCAAAATTAAGGCTGCAATATTTTCGGCGTAACGAAGGATCTTGCTAAGCCATTTGAGATTATATTTCCCCTTAAACTTAAGAGACACATCAAAATTATGCACTAGAAAATTGTAGTTCTTCAACAATCCTAGAGAATACTTTGCGATGGCAAATCTTTATCTGCTACGGTTGACTTACAGTAACAATCTTTTTCTTTAAATATTTTATTAAAAAATTTGTGTTATTTTTGACGCTTTTTGCCCTTTGTCAGTATTAATCCTCATTAAGACGAATATGTTAGTAACATTGGGTATAAAATGTAAACTTTAATTGTCTTTTACACTATATCATTCTAACGAATACTTTAGAAGATATCGAAGATTATTATTAATTACGGGCACCCGGAAAAGTAACTCGCAGCTGCAGCTAAACTTTGATAAAAAAAATATTGTTCATAGCTTTCTTGCCAAGCACACTTTATTTCTAAAATGCCACCTGTCATTAGTGGATATCAAGGCAGAAAAGGGTAGCGTCAATCTACGCTGTACGCTCTAGTACTACTACGTTCAATCTAGCTACGAATCATCTCTAAAAATCTAGTAAATTTCTAATTACGAATTACTTTTACAGATTACATCCGACCAATATGCCTTCCAAGGAATGACTTCTTAGAACAAATCAACGCCGGCACACAGCTCGTGACAGCGGGTTGGGGCAGCAATGATGTCAACCACCGTGACGTGAAAAAAGACGCCCTATTGCCTTATGTACCGATGAAGACATGCAGGCGTTCTCTATCCACAATGACGCTCACCAACAAACAGATATGTGCTGGAGGTGGGCCGAGTGAACAAACATGTGTCGGTGAATTCGGAGGACCATTGATGTTTCAAAATGATGATTACTATATAGCCGTTGGTGTTCTCAGTTACCGCTTCGGACAATGTCGTGTAGTGAACTTGCCTGGTGTGTACACCAACGTGTACGAGTATTTGGAATGGATCAACAGTATGATGGAATAAAGTGAGATGTGATTTTAATGAATACAAACATAATAAACTGGATTTAAATAGGAAGCACAAACTGGCTTATAAAAAATGTAGACGATTGCGTTAGAGACTTATTTACGGCATAGGCACATATCCTACGCCTTTAAAGAGCAATTCTCGTATATATAATATAGTATATATGTATTGTGTATATATACGATTTGATAATGTTTCACTTTTCAAGTTTATCTAGATAGCTTTCATCCCTGAGAAAGTTGTATATTTTTTCTATAACGCTGAGCAAAGTTTTGTTGTCCACGTACTTTATGTATAATATTATTTCTACTAAATCATAGTTAGGAAATGATTAATTATATCAACGACTTAATAACGGGTTAAAATCTGATTGCTCGCTAAGTGTTATGAAATTAAAAGAAAGTAACCGAGTGCGCTCCATACAAACGATGGATGAACCTTTGTGATTTCGAATCAGTCAAAGTCAACAAAATTTTGTAAACACGGTCTTGAAAGCATTATCGGTGCCTGCCATAGAATACTATAATACATAATAGTCTGCCTGCCTCGTTGGTCTAGTGGTTGTAGTAGTGAGACTGCTGATCATGAGGTCCTGGGTTCGAATCCGAATTAAAATCGCTTTACAAGCATAAGATACAGGTTTATTCAAAAATATTTTAGAAGTGTAAAAAAATATTTAAATCATAATACACGTTAATTTAGTCTTTAATTATTTTTTATATTGACTTGACTTATTATTGCGAGTCATTTTATACGTGATAGAGCCATGCTGCAGTTATATTAGAATAAGCAGTGTCGTAAATTTGAAATAGTACTTAAGAAAATGCTTATTGTAAAAACATTTTACAGTTTGAAGGAATATTTTAATGATAAATTATAAATCAATTTTAATTATTTGACGATTTTCTTTATTTCTATTTACATATTTGACAATATTAGTATTTTTCATCAAAAATTTTAAACTTTATTTTCATAATATAAATGACGAATGATCAGTTGACATATAATATTTATTGAAATTTAATTTTTAAAATAAATGTGTATTATTTAGTCTGACATTTTATAATATAATTTATATATTGTGTACAATGGTCTTTTTCTTATAATATCATTGATTGTGTATTATAAATATTGTAATTTGAATGAAATGAAAATGAATTCCATATTAATTAAAATTTAAACTCTGTTTTAATATGCTACGCCCGTACAGAGTGTCACATGTTCTGTAAATATATTGTTCCAAATTTATACTTTGTGACATGCAATAAAGAATGATGAATTATGAATTATATAGTTGGAGCACGAATGGGTCGGCTTGACCGGGGGACTCGACCACGCTCTCACAGAATACCAGCGTAAAATAGTAAGCTAATGGTGAAAAAAAAGGTGGACTGTGTGTTCGTTTGTCATCCTATCGTATAAAAGAAAAAGAGTCGACAAGTAGATGCAAGTGTCTCAGGATGGCGCTATGTAGCAATATATGAGGCAGGTCTATGTTGAGCAGTAGACTTGAAGACTGAGACTGATGATGAAAATTACTAATTTTGTTTTTTTTTTATATATAGGTATATACAATAATATTCACTATTCTTAACATCATATTTATTAATAGCGTTAGACAGAGCAATAAATCTTAAAAACGTGGGTAAAGTCTACCAATAAAGCGTAATAATGTGCTAAGAGTTGAAGCTAACGGATGAGAAAAATATTCGATTTAAATTCATAGAATAAAATTTAAAAATCCGTGTGATCATTGGGCATTATTTGTCGCTCGCTTCATCATATACATGACTTGGAATAACATAAATAACAATATTTCATAGCAACGTTGAGTAATAAGATTTGCTACAACAAATTTTCCAGGCGCTTCAGCGATATTCTTTTAAAAGTTAAAAGAAAAACCTGCATTAGTCGTAAATCACTTGATCATATAAATATAGTAAGTATATAACCCGCTTGTTCTATTTCTAAAGTCAATACTCGGAGAGCTTAACACACATAATATGCTAGTAATTACTCTGAGCTAGAATGTAATTGAAACATGTACATATTCTAATAGGTTATGCCAACGTAACTGCTATTTGATATTGAATTTTAACACTCAAGAATCATTGAATAAAACCATTTAAATTAAAATTTAAAACCATTACAGCGCCCATGGTCACGGAGAGGACTGAGATGTTTGACGTCCCAATGTCATAGTTAGTCCGGCTACCTTCAGTTTTTGAATATTAATTTTTGGTGCGATTTATGCAAAATAATATAAAAATAAAAATAAATTAAAGCAATTAAACGCGATAAAATCCGTAAATAACAGTTTTATTCAATGTGTAGTGTTCGCGTAAATTTAAGCAATCATTACTCAAGAATCATTTTATTATTGATCGTACGTAAACATCGAAAATTGAATAACTTTTTTAATATTTATGATAAAAGGAGAGAAATTAAACTTATATAATTCGAAAGGTACCGTGCCATAGATGTGCATTAAAAAGAAATAACGTGTATCAGCTGCCGTTACAGCAATTGAAATAAAGTAATCATACACGCATGATTTTTTCGAAACGCTTAAATCAATTCAATGAAAGCAAATTGATTAAGTTTATATATGTATGCGATAAAAATCCTTTGCATGCCCTGTACGGTAAAATATTAAACTTTGTTTCCACAAATCTTGTCGAGTTTTTACAACGGGCGATACTAGTTCCAATAAATAAATAAGAACTACATAAAATAGTCTATGTGAACATTGCCTATAACCGACGTGGGGAAAAATGCGAACGGACGGAATAACGAATTAATTCTAATAAACAAGTTCTTATTCTCAAACCAATACTTGACACAGTTTTCCATATTATAAGAGAGAGAAATTATAGGCAGCAAACTGAGTAAAAGAGACCCACCAGTGGACATGGGTCTTATTTTATAGAATAAGGTTGACAAACAAACACACAGTCCACCTGATGGTAAGTGATAAAAAAATATTTCGGAGACATGTGAAGTTCGCCAACAATACGCATTGGGGCAGCGCGGCGGACTATTCCTTGCCCTAAAACCCTCTCAGAAATGAGCGGAGGCCTGTGCCCAGGAGTGGGACGTATATAGGCTCTAACTTTCAACTTTAAGCATCAAAACGCAGATGCGTTGTCACCCGTGAGGACCTAAGATGGAATGCCTCGTTTCCAGTAAAAAGGGTCTCCAGTTCTCCACACTCACCATACGAAACACAGCAGCATCAATTTTGCGCAGGAGCCGACACTTTCGTGCTACAACTATAATATAGCTGCGGCGTGGTCTCTTCCTTTGTTGAAAGTATTTGCCATAGTCACCATGCTTGGCAGTCAGATTGACGATTGCCATATCAGACATAAGAACACTGACACTGCTACCCTGCTTACCGGTCTTGGTGTTTTATGCTTTACATAAATGAGGTGATACTGAGGTATACTGACATCTATTGGTAGGTGTTTCCTATAGTCGACACACTAACATCTACGGGACAAAAGCGGGTTATGGATTATTCTCTTAGGCTGCCTGATGAAATTGAATTGTGTGATTGTAATACTAAAACTACTGGCACCTAAACTCAAGGAGTTATTTATAGATAAGCTATTAATGTGCGTGTTCGAGCAAAATGCCACGCTAGTAGTTATTTGTGAGGTTTTTAGGAGATATCTACTTGGTATTTAAAAAGATAAATCAACTAATAAAATATTTATTAAATTTCTATGTAATCCCATTACCTAAAAGAAAGATTCCAATTCCGTAGTGACACTCATTCTCTCAATTTCCGATCTTCACACAATTTATTACTGTCTACTCCTCTCCACCGTTCTGGGTTTATGTCAAATTCTTTCACAGTAACTACCATCTCCCTGAACAGATTGCCTGTTGACCTGCGAGTAATATCTGCCAAAAACGTTTTTAAAAGACAACAGGGGGTAATCTGTGATACGAACATTTTTTAATTTTTAAATTTTTCCGGACCGATACGACCTGGGGACCTTCAAGAAAAGAGCTTACTCCTTTCTAAAGGGCCGGCAACGCACCTGCAATTCCCCTGGTGTTGCGGTTGATCATGGGCGGCGGTATTCACTTAACATCAGGTGAGCCGCATGCTCGTTTGCCCCCTCTTCTATAAAAAAAAATACGTACACATCCGTAACCAACATATCTGAGTCCACTTACTTTATATGTTTATAGTTATTTGTAACATTTATTGAGATATATACGTATAAATATGTGTATTAGTTATATTATTTATATGTGTACGTGTATATATGTATATATATTTTGTGTATGTGTAGCATTTTCTTATATTTGAATTGAATGTGATCATGACAACTTTACTGCCCATAACTCACTCTCTGTTCTACCCAAGGTCAGCTGGTAGAGAATGCCATATAGCATTAAGTTCGCCTTTTGTACAAAATCTTTGGTGCAATAAAGAATAAAATAAATAAATAATCATGATTCCATAATAGCCAATTACATTTTTTTAAAGGAGTAAATACTTGATGAATCTTCCTACAACTTACATCTTCAACTTTTTTCGACAACATGCATCTTCTCATAAACTAAGCATTATTTTAATTTGGGATTGACAATATTAGATAGGCAATTTATTAATGAACATTTTGATCTATTTAATTTTTTCAAAGTACTATAATTCGATTTTATAAAGACAATATTTTAAAATTTTGGTGTATTTCTTCCGCGATATATTGTATCGAGAGCGCGCTACGAGTAGCACCTTAAGAGATAAATATTGCAATATCGTGTCGAGTTATCTAATAAAAGGTGTAATTTAGAGTATTCTCATTTCTCAGTGTTTGTATGTCATAAAAATGTTAACTATTTTCGTATTTATAAGTTAAAATTTTTTTATAACACTACCGCACCGTATCTCACGAACTTACAGTGCACCTGACGGTGGTAAGTGAGTACTGCAGCCCATGGAAACTTGCAGCTAACTTCAAATAAGGAAGGTCGAACCT